CTGCACGCCTGTAACTCTCCTATCCTCTTCTTCAGCCAGCCACCTCACAGGCTATTTTACCACAAAGATGAAAGATTCTGCATCAACGTCCCTCTAAATTAAAATGAGCCCCACAACAACCAGAACGGCAGCGGGGCTAAGGGCCTGATACCACGGCATAACTGGGGTCCTCAGACACTGCTGGTGGGGTGTCCACTGGAACAGCCACTCCGGGAATGTTCTGCAGCATCTACTGAGGCTGAAGCGAGCCTGGCCTGTGAGCCAGCAATTCCACTCCCAGGAACACACGACAGACATGCAGAACCACGTACAGTGACGGTGACGGAAGCACTGTCCCTGACAGTCCGACACTGGAAACAACCCAGATGACAAGCAGCGGTAGAGGGGAACAATGAATTCCAGTCTGTCAGTGCGATGAGACAAAATCCAGCAAGAAAAACGAACCAACCACTGCCACACGGAAAACCAGGAGGAATCCAGCCAACACAACAGTGGGCAAGAGAAACCACACACACACAGAGATCTACTTCCATGGACGAAATCCCAAAATCAGGCGGACTCCCTCTGAAGGGGCAGTAACGGGATTCCAGGGTGCTGCGAACGCCCTCCACCCACAGCCTCGGGCTAATCCCGTGGCGCGTCCGCTCTGTGCTGACTCGTCAGGCGGCACACCACCTGTGCCTTCTATCCGCACACTACACTTCAAGGACAAACCAACTGAAAAATACCATGAAACTCAAAATAAGGCAACATTAAGTCACCTGATTTGCTTTTAACAACTGAAAAGCTATGTCTAGGTGGCTCACCCTCCCTACAGAACAAGAATCATAAATGGAACGCATCGTGGCATTTGCTTAAGACACATGAACACATACTTTTCTCAGTTCCAATAAAGTGTGCCCCAGCTGGCCCACACAGCTTCGCCAACACAGCAAGATTCTACAAGGACTAAACTCGCTGTCTACTTTTCATACATTTTTTTAAATGATCTGTTTACGAAACTTCCAGCAGAAATTTTTACCATTTCCAGAAATTCGTTATTTCTATTTATGAGAGTAAGACCCTAAAATGCAAAAACTGAGACCCAGAAAAATGAAGAAAACATAACACAGGAGTCTTTGACTGGATTTGTTTCTATAGCAGAGCAGGCACCTGTGATGAGATGTTTACCTAAAACAGAGCCACAGCAAGGAGAAAACGACACTTACTCCTTTTTTCCTTTTTCTTAAATTTCCCTTTTTTCTTCCCATGGTCCTTCTCGTCATCGGACACGATGTCAGGAGGCTCGTGGAGGCCATCGTGGGGAGGCGAGGGCTCGCCCGTGCGGTAGAGGCCGGGGAACTTGGTGGGGCTGATCTCCTCCGAGCTGGGGGTGCGGGGGAGCCCTCCGCTGTGCTCTGCCCTGCGGTGTTCGCTGGGGCTGCTGGTCGGGGGCAGGAAGCACTCGGTCATGCTGCCGCCGGGACAGACCGTGCGGGGGCTTGTCTGTTACCTGTCCATCTCACCTGCACAGGGGACAGAGAGTGTCACGTCACCCGACAGGGCCACGCACGAGAGCACCAGACACACACGACACGCAATCCATCCCACGTTTACGCATCAGAAACATTCTTCACAACCCCCCATAAAAGGGCTCTTTCATTCCGCCACCTCCAGTTACGTTCGGCATCACACGCTTTGGGTCTCGGAGAGTTGGAAACGCTGGATCTCCAAGTATTAAAAAGACGAACCAAATGAAAATTAGAGTTCTCAAAGTAGAACAGAGTCCTCTCTAACAAGAACCCACCATTGAAAGGGGCTTCGTTCTGATTGCTTTCCAACATAAAATCTTAATTTTTTTTGAAGTTATGACCAAACAATGGTGAATCATAAATTAAGAAGGCTATTTCTACAACTACACATGGAGAGTTCAGCATCATAACTAAAATCGACAACAGATGAAGGTGATCAGCGTCGTGGCTCACGCAACGACAGGCCACTAGCTGCAGCAGAGCCCTGCGCTAGACAGCTCGCGGCTGAGGACAGCTACTTCATCTCGCGCTGGAGCTGTGCTGGAGGAAACAGAGGACCCCTCATTTGCTCAGTCCTACAATACACACAAAACAGACTGGACACTCAAAGGACCAATGCAAGAAGAGGTCAAGACTTGTTTGCATTTTTTTCCTCATCAGACGGATGGTACGTGGTCTAAGTATGTCTAAGCTCTGTCCAAAGGCACCTGGAGTTATCCTTCATCCTCTTTCATGTCTTTGTGATACTCATTAGAAAACGGTTAGAATCACTTGTTTCCGTTTACACTCACTTTTAAGTTTGCAGCTTTAAAAATCCAGGAGCGCGAGTGACAAGACTGATAAATGTGACCGTGAACAAAGTCTAAAGACAAGCAAACGTGAAAAAAGTTGGTAAACTGTGACAGCTGATTTCTTTAGAAAGTACTCTCACACATCAGTGAAAACAGAAACAAATCAAGAGACCTACACAAAGAATGTGAAGCAGTTCATAGAAAAACGACTAATATCCGTATGAAAACAAGGTTCAAGTACACCTACAACTTTAAAAACAGAAATTAAAACAGTCACCATTTTCCCAACATCATTCTGGCAAAGAACAAAGAAGACGTCCGGCACCCAGTGCCGTGAGGACGTGAGCTAACAGGCGCCTGGAGAACACCTGCCAACAGCAGAAGCACAGACCAGCACAGGCTTTTCTGAAAACCATCTCGGCAACATCTGTGGAAGTTCCAAGTGTGTCTCTCGGAGCGAGGAATTCCTCTTTTTAGAACCTTATCCTCCTGATACACTTTTACATGCATTCAAAGTTGCACACCTGAAAATGCCGATTTTAGTGCTGTGAAAGCAACACCAAAACCACCTAAGTGGCTACCAAAAGAAGATCAGGTAAATCATGACTTATCCAAGTACTGGAACATGAAGTCACACGGGCGATCTCTGAAATAGCCGACCGCAGCTCACCCTTGGGAGCTGTGAAAGACGAGGGAGAGGAAGATGTTTTTATTTCTTACTTTACCTCTTCACGCAGTCTGAGCCTTACCATGCCTCTTTTTATTGCTTTTATTACTATAAAAGCTGGCCTGACTGCCCTGGCGCCCGCGACGGATGAGGCCCCAGCAGAGGGTGAGGACCCGGAAACCCCGCGCTGCCCAGGGACAGAGCTTCCAGCCCTGGGGAGCCACAGCGAGCCTGAACTTCACCGAACGAAGGGGCAGACGAGAGAGGCCTCAAACAGTCCACGGTGAGTTTAAGCATAAATGGGCCAAGGTAAAACAACGAAACAACAACAACGAGAAGCTCCTGCTTCTGAGACAAGAGGACAACGGATGTAAATCTGCAAGCACTTAGGAGGGAACACTCAAACCTGTTCCTCCCGGGAGGCACAAAGAAGAGTCCTGGATTTTTCAGATTAAAACAACAACAACAGATGGACAGGCTGAAGGCAGACAGGTCAGGGACTCGGGCCCAAGGGCCAGCACAGTTCCCGGAGTTCTGTCTGCCTCTACACCCAACACTCGGAGCAGAGGAAGCCGGAACAACGACGGGCGCAAGGAGGCGACAAAGCCTGCTCTCTGCAGCCTGCGGGCCAGGGGGCTGCCCTGCAGGACAGAGAGCTTCTGGATGATGATGGTCCACTCCAGCCAGACACACAGGAGAGCAGTCCAGGCAGGCCGGCTCTGGAGTCGGGACAGACAGGCCAGAGGGACAAAACAGAAAACTCAAAGAGACTTCCATGGACAGTCAGCTGAACGTCAGCAAAGGCTCCAAAGGGACTCACGGGGGAGGAAGGTCTTCAACAAGGGGAGACGGATGACCACACAGGAAACAGGGAGGGGCAGCCCCTCACGTCACCCACAAAACATAACTCATGACATATCAGACACAAAACAGCTAAAACCCGTAAAACTTCTAAAATAAAACATTTTTGAGCCCTTGGGCGAAGATTTTCCCAGACAGAACCAGAAAACATTAACTAATTAACTATAAAATTAAAAATTGACAAATTGGACTTTTGTATCCAAAGTAAAAACTTCTGCTCATCAAAAGACATCATGAAGAAAACAAACAGTGAAGGCAAAGACTTGGAGAACACATTTACTATGTGCGTATCTCACAAGACACCCAGAATGCATGAAGAACGCCCGCAACTCAGCAACAGACAGCCCAAAACGAAAAAGGGCCAAAGAGTTGAGCAATTTACAAAGGAAAATATATGACTGGTTAATAAGCCCAGAAAAAAGCTCCACATCAAAGAAAAACATCAAAGAAATGGAAATTAACACCACCATGAGCTATCAATGCGACACCATCTAGAACGGCTAAAATTTAACCAGAACAACAATTCCTAACATTTAACCACTTTGGAAAAGTATGTGGCAGTTCTTTCAGTCAAACCCTTAACATTTGACCCAGCAATTCCTCTCCTGAGTATTCACCCAAGAAATGGAAACATATATTCACAAAAAGCCATGTCTAGAGTAACTTTATTCATAACAGATAAAAACTAGGAACACCTACATTTCCAGCAACAAGACTGGATAAACATATGTGCACGTAAAAGGAACAAACTACTCAGACACAACCAAGCCAGTGAACTTAAGACAGCACAGCAGACACGGGGGATTACAGAATACATGCTGCTGTCTACATGATGTTCTCCAACAGGCAGACTCATCTCTGTCCAAACAATGCAGACCTGGGGCTGCGGGGTGGGGAAGCGGCAGGGACCGAGACAGAACCGGCCGGGTTGATGGCGCTGTTCTGTATCTTGACAGGCATGCGGGCCACATGTACGCAGACATTTGTTAAAACTTTTTTTTTAATAGAAATACAGTAAACATACAATATTATGTTAGTTTCAGGTGAACATTCACATACACTGTGAAATGATGACCGTGACAAGCCTAGTGACCATCTGCCCCCGGAGTTACTTAACTATCACTGAACGTATTCCTTACCGTAAGCTCCACCCCCGCGGCTGGCTTTTTTCACAACAGGAGCTCTGTGCCTCTTAATCCCCTTCACCTATTTCACCCACCTCCCTTCTGGCAGCCACCCATGTGTTCTCTGTATCTATGAGTCTAATCTTCATTTTGTTTTTTTTTTTAGATTCTACATATAACTGAGATCATACAGTATCTGTCTTTCTCTGACTTACTTCACTTAGCATAAAGCCCTCTAGATCCTCCCACGTTGTCAAAAAAAAAAAACCCACTAAACCGTGCCTATCACTGAACATAAATTATACCTCAGTAAATCCCCTCAGACTGGGCGGAAAGCCACAGATGCTATACAGAGATGATCGTGAGCCTTTAAAAAAATGCAAACCCGCCTTTTCAAGTGCTGCTACTCCCACCTCTACCATCAGCATCCCACCAGCCCAGACCCAGAATCACTACAAGGGGAATGTCCACTTCCAGTCTCTCCCAACTGAAAGCCTGCGGCTGGCACCAGCGCAAAACTTCTCTCCAGAGAGAACTGAAGGTAAAAAATGTTACTTTCAGAATATCTAACAAAGAGTATTAAAAGTATAAAGCAATAACCATACATTTAGAATTTTACTTTAGAACCCCCAAAATTATACATTTGAAACAATATTTCATGTAAAAAGAACAGTTATGACAGCTAAAACTGAGGTAAAGCAACAACAAAAAACCTTCATAAAACTAGACTCATACTTAACTAAACAAGGGCTTAAAAACATTCACCCCTCCAAAGAAGTAGGATATACTCTGTTCTTAAAATAGTCTTTCCTGCTCATGTACCCTATTAGTCAGCGCATATAGGAAGAATCACTCACCCATGCAAAAGGACAAAGCAATGTAAGCCGGGAAGACAGACAGATTACTAAATCAAAGTCTCCTGAAAGGAGCTTTTGAGGATGACTCCAGTGATTTAGTAAACTTGATCATATCTACACAGAAAAAGGTCTTTTCCAGAAAACAAATAGCGTGCTTCACTAACTTACATGTAAGCAAATTCAGTATTTTGTAAATGGTCTCTATTAATAGAACCATGCTAAAATTCACTAGAAGCAGCTTTCCCTCATTCTTATGTTTTCTGAAAATAACCTGTAAATCAGGGGGGAGGGTGTAGCTCAGTGGTAGAGCACATGCTCTGTTTAGCATCCACGAAGTCCTGGGTGCAATCCCCAGCACCTCCTCTAAGAATAAACACATAAGTAAACCTAATTATCTCTCTCCGCCAAAAAAAAAAAAAAAAAAAAAAAAAA